GATTATTTGCAACCATGGAAGGACAATGGCGGGTCTGTTGTCCAGTTCAAATGATGTAATTATTTGAAACGATGGAAGAACAATGGCGGGCCTGTTGCCCGATTGAAATGTAATAATTTGCAAAGATGGAAAGGCGCAATGATTAGTAAAGATGGAAGGACAGCGGAGGGTCTGTAGTCTGACTGAAGTTTTTTTTCCAAACTGAAAGGACATTTAGTATTACAAGTAATAAGGTTAGCTGCAACATGCCTTGTATGAGGATCGGTATGGGAGAAAAGTCATCAGGAAGAGCTTGAGCCTGCAAATTCGCCAACATCTTCAAATGGACTTGCAATGAAACCCGGTCTTTCACGTGATCAACAACCCTGAATGTCTTTTCTTCTCCATAAAATCCTAAAGAAACTGATTAATGAAATCATCTAATTTCTTATATTAGATATTAGAAAATCGTTTACGCCTTTCATTTGCCATAAAATGAGTGTATTGGGATGCCTTCGACGAGCGTGATGAAAACATCCGAAACAATCCTCAACCGAGATTACATTCTCTTTAAAATGACCATGGTGAACGCGCTCGTCATCTTCAACAACATGACGAATGCGGTCAACAGGGTTATTTACTATAAAACGAGTGTATTGGGATGCCTGAAACGAGCGTCATTGCAATACCCCAAACGATGATTTACGAAATATTAAACCAACTGATTGCTCACCGACCTGTCAATATAGAAAATAATTTCAAATCAAACGCATCACGTCGTTTCCGAATTCTTGAGTCTACTTTTTTAATCAAAATGACCATGTTGAATGCGCTCGTCATCTTCAACAACATGACGAATGTGTTAAACCCGGTAATTTACTATTTAACAACTGTATTGAGATGCCTTAGACGAGTGTGATGATCAACCGAGTTTACTTTTCTTTAAAATGACCTTGTTGAATGCGCTTGTCACTTTCAACAAAATGACGAATGCGTTCAATCTTGTTATTTGCAACAAAATGAGTGTACTGGGTGCCCTCGACGAGCGTTATTAATGTATTCCATACGATGATTACGAAATATTAAACCAACTGACTGCTCACCGACCTGTCAATATAGAAACGAATTTCAAATCAAACGCATCACGTCGTTTCCGAAACCTTGAGTCTACTTTTTTAATCAAAATGGCCATGTTGAATGCGCTTGTCATCTTCACCAACATGACTAATGCGTTTAACCCGGTCATTTGCCATAAAACGAGGGTATTGGGATGCCTTCGACAAGCTTGGTGAAAACATCCGCAATGATCATCAATCGAGTTTACTTTTC